TCTTAGGGCGGCGAGATACTGACATTATTGGCGTCTAGAGAGATCGATCGGCGCTCTCGGAGGCTCGTTCAGCGCGCGCCGGAGGTCGAAGGATGAGCGCGCATAAATACATACGGCCGTCGGATTTGCATAGGTCGAACACGAGCCTGAACTCCCCGGCGCTTTTACGGCACGGGTTATCCCGCGGCGCGCTCGCGGTAGCGTGTCGCCTACGAAATTGATACCCGTCGCGAGATTGCGCTGACGTAAGTGTAATGTTCGGCGAAACGCGTGATTAGGCCCCACCGCGGCGCGTCCGAAACGGCCGGCGTCGTCATAACGACAGAACGGCACGTCATTCGCCCACTAGGCCGTAACAACAGATAAGACCTTCCCGCCTGAAGGGGGAGGGGACGACCGTAATTTTCACTTATCCCCCGTGCAAACCGCTTCAAAGTATCGAGTATAGCGCCGAGATTTTCTCCGAGCTGCACATTACGCCAACATTGCGGCGCATCCGGGTGAACGCTGCTCGATATTGAGATTTACCATATTTGTGGAACTCGGAGAAAGGATGCTTTGCAGAAATATTGCTCATTTTCTTTAAAATGTCTGCACGAAGCACTTAAGAAGTGCTTTCGAAATACTTGCGAAATACGAGATGTTGTGTGCAACTCTTTTCCGGGAAATCTTAAATTGAAACTAGAAAATCTATTTAAGAAAAAACGCTAAAGAAGCGATTAACCAACTACTTTGGAAATTAATAGCGGCTTATAATCTAGGCATGGATGTTCCATTAGCGCTCATGTTCTCGTTCGAGGGACCGTCATGCAAGGTTTTCAAGAAAGCATAAATTTGTTATTTAGTCATTTGCGGTACAGCATTCTAACGATGGCCGCAATTACCTGCACGACCGTCGTTGTCGTTATTATGGTCGCGCGCGCACCGTATATTACGTCACACGTAGTGTAATATATGCGCAACACGCCTGTATATTACATGCGTTAAATGTATAGATGCACGCAGTCGGTTGGCTTTCTTCCAACTCGCTCGTTAATGAAGCGATTCGGCTCGCGTTTATCTCGTTGGACCATCCTCACTTCGTCATTACTCGAGAAACAGCCTTCGGGGATTGGAAATTTTGAGCATGTCTGCGGTGCCAGCCGCCCGGCGCAACGCGATAATGTCACTTGCCGAATAACCGTGGAAAATCGCAAAACGATCCTCTCACGACTCGCGTGAAATCTTGACAAATTGCCACGCGAAACCACGCGGTGCGTTTAACTATAAATATATGAATTTTTATATTGCCAAATAAGAAAATAAAGATGAGACTAATTTATTTTAACAAATGTTCCGTTGATAAATAATTCGTCTGTCTGCAGTGATATATTTTTTTCTTTGCGGAAAACATCAGGCGTTAAGGAATAAACCAACTCGCGTGACAATGTAACCGAGCCGTCCTCGAGAAATGCATTATAGTTCGCGATATTTCGTGATCTTGATGGCGGGAGAAAACACGCGCGTGTAGGACGATGTTTGTTTCACTTTAGCAGTACACGATAAAGGCATTCAGAAGTCATCCTGCGCGGCGACCGCAAAAAGTTTTGCGTCACTTCGGATGCCGTTTACATCACGGAATTGAATTAGAAACTAGAAACAGATTTGCAGCATTTTTATTTTTAATCATAAATTCATCCGTGAAGATTGAACCATACCATATATGTGTAATATTATATCATACCGTACTGCCAGTCATAATTATTACTCAATTTGCGTCTCGTTTCCCTTTTCATCGTGTTATAGCAAAGTTTATGATATAAAACCTGAATTAATTCAATTTTATTCTTGACGTAGCAAAATATTTGCTTCAAAAGTTTCTGATGGATAAAATATGCCTAAGGAATTTCTGATTTACTCGCTTCTTGCTGTAGAACGCGCGCATTTCTTCCTCGAGGAATTCCTGGCGATTAGAGAGAGAGTTGACTTAAGTCACGTTTCTTGTCACGGATCGAACGTGTGACATTTCGTGACTGGGAACTTTTTCGTCCCCGCTGCACAAAATGCGCAGCGTGTTTAGGCTTCTGCGCAATCAAGCGGGATCCTCGATCGCATGTATGCCTCAAATGCTTTCACAGACAGCCTCAAACCTCCGCACACGGAACATTTTTATCGTAGCTCCGATAGTCAATACGTTATCCCATATAAAAACGTTATTCTATATACGTAATATTCTCAGGCTAAAATGGAATATAAGATAAAGTAATTTTTTTATCAACTTCCTGGATTATTCAATCTTGTAAAAACGCTTATAGGATTTTTAGTTAAAATTTGCAAAATCTCTTAGAAATTATCTTATCTATATTTTTTATAACACATTGATAATGGCTTCCGCGTGAGAACGAAAATTTTTTCATCCGATATTCTCGTCGGAAAACGGAGTATTCGGTTGGTTCGTGTATGTTATAGCGTATAGCCGGTCAAAACGATGATTCGCCTGCATGGAATTTGGAGAATACCGCGCCGCGTTTTTCGAGAGCACATCCCATACCTCGTATAAAAATAGTTCGTCCGATATTACACGCGGCTTGCTCGCGCGAATACCGTTGCTACTCTCATGCTAACCGAAAAAATATTATATACTTCGCATCGTGCGCTTAAATACGTCTCGACTCTAATGCATATATTCCACATCGCGTAAGCTCTGCAACAAATTTGCAGTTAATCTTTCCTTTCTTGAAAAAATTTTGCTGAAAGATTAATATTGTCGCGAGTCATTAATTTTCCATATTAAACATATTAATAATTAAGCGTTACATTTTTATTAATTCGTAAATTAAAATATATCTAAAAGCAGCATTAAATAAAAGTATTGAACTTTCGCGATTTTGATGCATGATTTTATTTTCTAAAAACATTGGAACAATGTTAAGGAGAAATTCAAAGACCGATGCTTCAATTTGAGAATTTAAAACCCATGTTGATGTCGAGTCCATCGATGTCGGACTATTTCCGCGGCGTGAACTGCCGTTACGGTAAACAGAAAATATCACGAGCGTCGAAACGTCGGCGCGAAGTAGCGCGTTAACTCACGGGCTTTAGGAGTTTGTTATTTCGGTTTTGGCGTTAACTCCCGCGAGCCAACGACAAGAGACATTCGCCAGACCACCCTGAAATCGTTTCCTCCCGTGTCCCACCCGCCGGTTACTGACTTTCCACATTGCGTCGTGACCAATAGTGGCTGATGGTGCTGCGTTGCTGAAACTTCGGGCACGAAAATAACTAAAATACACGGGTGTGTTACAGCAACGGCGTGACGTAAGATTTTCCACAGTATAAACGGAAGTTCAATGCAATTGAGGAAAATACTATGCCGACACGCGTTATCGGATAAGTCAATTTGACTATCCCGGAAATTTGCTGCAAACCGCAAAGTTCCATATACATATTTTGCAGATTAACTCATTTATCCTCGTGATAATTCGGAGATAAAGGAATGTGTGAAAGAAATTTCCATAAAAGTTCACGGTAAAGCAGCGCTGCGATAAATCTGGTAGCGGTGCTGTTTTTACAGAACGCTACGGGCGTATCGAATCGCGCACGCGGCTGCGATTAATCGCGTGGAATTCGTGTCGCGGCCTCACAGCCCCGGTGAGGACGATCAAAAAGTCCTTACGTACCGCGGTGAACGGAACGCCGCGCGAGCAGCGAGAGAGGCTCTTCTTTTCTCGAGCCTCTTCTCTTAGCGGGCCGGTTCCTCCGTAAGAAACACTTTCAATGGACCACACGCGCGACGACCTCGCGCGACGGCGAGTGCGCGCTTCTTACAGGGTCAGGAGCTTATGTCATCTATCTTAGGGAGCTGCTCATATTCAGCCGCGGCGACACTCCAATGCCCCGCTCTCACAGTGGGACCTTTATCCGCCGAAATGACGGCGGAACCCTTAAAGCCCCGCGCACATCGCCCCGGCAATAGCGATGAAATAGATGAGCTTGCTTATTAATCTTCCTATTGTGTCCGAATATTAGATACTTATATAATAAGCTTGATTCAAGCGGTAGAATAATATTTCATTCATCATAATTAAATTTTTTTAAAGTCAAATTTTGTTAATTATTTGAAATATAATCACTTCATTTGAAGTAATGTTTTCGAATTGTAAAACTAATCGCGTGTGAAAAATATCTTTGCATGTCACAAATTGATATCTTTGTCCGCAATTCTAACGTATCTAACGTATAATTCGGTTTATTATTTAATTATAGATCGTTATCAGGAAATTGAAATTTAATGTCTTGGTCAGTCTGTCAGACTGCATATTTCAGTGAGTGTACATAGACCGCATGTGGTTGGTGCAGACGCGAATTAAATGCCAAGCGAAATAATTAACATATACATTTCATACATTGTACAAGGAACGAAATGAATCAGACACGTTACAACAAGTTCAAACAAAATTCAGATATGTTTAATATAATAAACTTATATATCTCGACGATAAGCGCGCGCGACAGCACGAGGTTAGATTTTATTTTAAAACAGCATGAATCACATAAACGGTAAATTTAAACGTTGACTGTAACGTTCATTATCTACTGTTTGCTAATGTGTACGTAATCTTAAGGAAATATTCATGAATCTCGTGTAAACTACACGTAACAGATACGAGGGATTTTTTTTCCGGTCGCGTGGCTAACTGACCTTATCGCCACTGGGACATTTCCGATAAGATCGCTGTTTCGTCACATCGTCATTTCTTCACGTCAAAGATATAGTCGCAGTAAGCGATAAGCAACAAAAAAAAAGATATCCCAGTTATAAATTAACCCCCATGCATCGTATGGAAAAAAAAATTGATCGATTGATTATAAATGTGATCACTTTGAACGAAAAAGAACGTTTAAACAATTTTATATTCAGTGCAACGAAATTATAGTGAAAAAATGCATATATTAGTTCACAATAAACATGCAAGAGAAGCGAACGCTTTAAAAATAAAATTGCTCATTTCTTGTTGCAGTGGCCGACGTGGTTTTTCCGCCCCGATCTTTCGCTTGGCACGCCACTACCAACGAGTCATGTTCCAAATTCGAGCAACGTTCCTACATCTTCGCCTCTACCATCTCGAACGCATCTGGACGCTCCGAAAGGGCCGGAGCCTCCTTCTAACAGCAACAAAGTCCATGGACAGATGCCAACGATATGCACGGTGAGTGACACGTTTGATCATTCGCGATTTGATCCCGTCAACTAGACCGTAATAATTACGTAGCTGTTGTCTTGCCAGTATACATATCATATATACAAGTGACCGAATCCGAATAATTGAAAACTTATGGTAGATTAGAAATAAATTTACAGATAAATATCCTTGCAAAGTGTGTAGCATTAATCTCAAAAACTCGCGCTTAAGAAAAAATATTATTAACAATATTAAGAAATAATATAATATTAACAATAAAAAACGAGCACATAAAATACAAAAATTTATATCCAAATTTTGAAAGAAAAAATTTGATGGTAAAAAATATATAAAAAAATATACTTTGAAAAACTGATATTTAAGGAAATAATAATGACAATCTCAATAATTGATCAGTGCATATTATATTAATAATTATTTTAAAATCGATTATTAAATCACTCAATAATGGTTAAATGCCGATAGCACGCGCGGTAAGCGATACTCGTTTGCTCGTTGGCGATTTTAATTAATATACAATATCGTTAATGGCGTCGATTATTCTCGACTGATTGTTATTAACTTGTCCGATAATAGTCGACCGCAAGTTTATGCCGTTACAAACCGTGAGTGCGTAAAATCATAACGCATATGATCGGATCACGGTATCCCGATGTCGCGCCATTAAGAGAGATCAATTCAACGTTTTATGCATCTCACGACTCTCACGATGGTCGCATAATGACATTTATATAGGATAAAGTTTTGCCGCGTGACAAAAAACGACGTCAGTTAATTGAAAAGTACGACTGTTATGTAGGGCAAAGTTTTGCCGCGCGACAAAAACAACGCCGGTTAATTGAAAAGTACGACTGTTCCACGGACTGGTAATAACGTTTAATGAGCGGCAATTTCGTATAAAATTACGGGGTATGTTTGTATCACGCGCGCGAACGGTGCCGCTTTTATTAGCCTTCGATCGAGGTCAATCGTCATTCGTATATCGATCTGATCGTGTTTGTCGCCGATGTGGAATGTAATTTCCACCGCGAACACGGTACTTCGTTGCGATGGCGTGTCGGCAGGTGACACCGGTCTGAAATACGTGCCTAGCACGAAACAACCAGAAATACCTCCCTGCGTGCTGTGATTTTGTCTCCTTCGTCATAGATCAATGTCACGTGACATTCGTCTTGTCAAGTCCGAGCATTTCCTTCGACATTTTTGCAATTAAAATAATTTATTTCGTCATGATCTCAAGCAAATAGCGTCATAAAGTTGTCGAAATCAGGAGGAATTGTACACCCGCACGCAAATCGTTCTTCGTTTTTCCAAATATCTGCTTATTGCGGAAGCAGTCCACAGATTATATATGTTAAAGATATATTTTATTATATACAAAATTATTAAATCAAGACAATTAAAACAATATAAATATAAAAGCAGTGATTTTTTTATTATCCTACATCGTTACTTTATATTATTAAGACTTCCTCTTTTTATCGCCCCTTATCCTACTCAACTATCCTGTCCAACTCTACGATTGACACGAAGTTATCCTATCGACGGTTCCGTTACTCAGTCACCCGAGTCGCAGAAACTCAATTTTCGAGGCCGAGCGGCTTAACGGCCGGCGACATGGCACAGAAACGTACCGAACGTGTGAGTTATGGGCTTACGCCGGCCGATCGATATTCAATTTACAGTTTTGTCACAACGGTATTACGTTTCGCGGAAAAATATCCGACTCGGCGCCACGTCGGTGTTGCACCGTGGGAGTCGTTCGACGTCGCCGTTGCGGCGAGGCCTGAAAACCGCGTGGGCGGCGCGCGCCTCGTTAGAGCGCTGTCGTGGCGCTCGTTAGCGCCGACTATGCGCCTCGCTCTCCGGCGTCAGTTAAATGCAATGTTTAATAAAGGCACGCGTCCGGGATTCACGGATACTGCCCTCGCTACGCCGGGGGGATCCTTCGTGGCTTCTCTCCACGTCCTTTTCCGCCTTTGCCGCAATTGTTATCTGTGCGTCGCGCAAATCACGACGCCCGGATTATTAATTACCACGCGGGATTGCGGGTAGTCGCGAATGATCGATTTGGTTGCCGCGATTAAAGACGGCATCTGAGTGGGCGGAGGAGGCAATTTGTATTGGCCTACAGTGTGTGTAAGCCACGATGCGTACCGTATCGGAAATAATTTCGTCTGAGATTAATTAGCTCCGAAAACATGGTTGAAACCCGCGGAGCGAATGCGACGTTCAGAGATATAAAAATTAATTATGTAAGAGAAAAGAGAAATTACTTGAATACAACTTAAATTTTAATTTGCTTTACGTGAAGAAACATATTACAAGTTAAAAATTTTTAATGACACTTTTAATATTTTTTAGAAATTAATTTTTAATGCAACAATTTCGCAATATTTTCAAATATTAAAAATTTCCGTAAAATGTATTAATTTCAAAAATTTTTTTTGACAGGATGTCGATGCTTTAGACACATCGTTTTGATATAACAAATTAAAGTTTAACTTAAATGCGTTCACACAGGAGATCGAACAGTGTCATTTGAGAGTTTATTTCTCTTCGTTCGTTCGTTTACGAACAACGCGTGCGGAAATAGTGATCGCTCAAGCCTAATTTTATTTCTCTCATGAGTTATCCGCTGCCGCGTCGCTGCCCTATTTATTCTCATTGTAGTCTCTCGTCGTAAGGCAGTACAGTGTTATTCGCAAACGTTACTTCGACATGTATTTTCTGTACGCCCATATCGATGCGCACGGTCGCGCTAATAAATGTGTATCTGGGAAAAAAAATTGTTTCGTTCCGAGAAACAGTTACTGCAAATTGCGACCGTGCGCGAGGTATATATCGGCGCGCGGTTACGCGATCCTCGATATTCTATCCGGATCGTTAACGGCGATAACGCGCAGTGATTTTATTTCGGTGGATCAAGAGAGATACTCTCCGCGCGCGCGGTTGCTCGTCGAAATTCGAAGCACGCGGCGAACCTTAACCCTCGACCAGCGCGTTCGATTTGGGTAACATAACTGCTACGATAGAAGAATCAGTTCCGATCCCGATAGAAATGGCGCAGTATATTACGAATATTGCAAGTATTGCTCGAACAGTATTTTCCATTATTTAACTGTGCAATAGTTGACAAAAAATTGCGACATAAAAGATTACGATGGAATTCTTCATGTTTTACAATCAATCGAACAAACTCCATTAGATTTAGACCACATAGTGTGATGAGCACTAATGTGAAAGGGTTAATAACGACAGTGTTTAGATTGTGAACTCGTTAACTCCGTAGGATACCGAGCGCATTTATTGATCGGCCACGAGAAGGCGAGAATCATGCGTGATGACGAGGTTACGATGACTAAATGAGAACAGTTCTATTTTCTCTCTGAAAACGACGTTTGGCGTGTGCTTTGATGAAAGCAGTTCGACGAAAGCGGTCTCGCTTCCGAGATCAATTCTAATTGCTGTTATTACGAGAGATTTTATACTCTTCCCAATTTTTATTACGAGCGGCATACATATTCATTTGGATGAGAGAGGCCAGGGAGTTACTCTTTATTATGCGTGCTTGCATTTCAGTTAAATCGAGCGTCTAAATGCAACCAGTATGTAAGATACTACGCACGCACCGGAAACATTTTATTTACGCGCGCGCCCGAAAGTGGAATAAAAATGTATCTTATCTGAGAAAGTAACGAATTTATCGCGGCGGGGTTACGGCGCGGTTTCGAATACGATACTCTTAGCGAGATATCGATGCAGTTAAATCGCGAGAATGGAGCTACCACTCACTGCTTCTTCTACATATCGCGAGATTTTCCCACAGCTAACCGATTTTTCAAAGTATTGTGGCTTTTACAGTTATAAAAATTTCATAAATTTTACTCGACTGATTGATAAAATAAAATTTACAAGATAAATAAGCGTGGAAATATATTTCGTATATCGCCATGTTAAAAATATCCTATACTTATTCTATGTTAGAGCACGAGCTAATTAAAAAAACGGCAGAAACGTCGATTAAATATCGATTAACCAGCCGCGGTAAACTGAAACCGGTTCTCTATCTTTGGTTAGAATCGACGCGAATGTTTTGTTAACGGTTTAAATGGATAATTAGTTAATATAAGTAAAGTCTAGAAGCATCAAGTTAAACCTAGAAGCATCATATATAGATGCTTCCTCTTCAATAATTGCTTGCCGAAGGCAACAATTAACCAATGAGTAAATAGAGAGAAGACCAATTAAATACCGGTTAACCGATCACAGTGAGAAACCGGTTCAAAATTTGCGATAACAGCTAATGATTAATACGAAAATTGTCTTAATAATTTAATTGAGAAATAACGTCAAAATAAAATGTCAAAATTAATCAAAGAACATTTCAAAATATTTTGAAAAACCTTTCCTTTTTCAAGAATCGGTTATTCAGTGCAAAAATTAGCTATGGAATAAATAATAGAAGTGTCAATCAAGCAAAGATTGATTGATCGAAAAAAGAGGCTATTTAAAAATTAGTGATTTATGATTGAATATTTCGAAATATATATAAAGTATAAAGCAGTATTCACAAGTTCTTCCGCGATTTGTCATATTACGTACGCGCACCGGCTGTTAAACTGGGACGTCCGCGGGGCAAAATCTAATTGCACGGTCGCTTAATTAGATCGTTGGCGCAACTCGCGCGCGAGTGCAGTCTCGTCGTGTGCCCTTCATACCAAACTCGGCCTCCTGTCCTTAAGATACGGATCGGCCTTAATTCACTGCGTCTACGGGATTAATCTCGCTCGCGGGCGCCGCGGTGCGCTCTAAAATTAGCACGAGCGTCAATTGAGCGCAGTGACTGCACGCACGCGTCAGTATATACATAGCACATACGCCGATTACCTCATACGAATGCGCTTTTTTTCTCGCTCGCGCGATGTAAACGCGCTTAAACTAGCGCTTTGCGTGGACGGTTTATCGGATCAGTTTCAGGCTGTTCTAGGATGAATTTCATTATT